TGGGGAATTCTGGGAGTTGAAGTCCACATATCTTTAAAGTTGCCAAAGTTGAGAAACACTGTCTAGGACATCAAAGAAATAGATCTTTTAAGACTCCAGGTTTGCCTTTCCATTTTCACAAGGGATTTAACTGTTTTCTTTTTTTTAAAAAAAGGGAAAAAATATTACCCCAGACCTGGCTTCATACATTGCATTGAACTATCATGCGTTTTCTTTTGCTTTGAGTCAGTCTGCTCTGCAAACCCAGCTATTGGGGTTTGCAAACTGAGGCTGACGGCTTAGCTTCTTGGGCGAATTCAGCCCGATCACTTTGTTACTGATCTTTTTATGGTTTAAGTGTATGGTGAAGCCAACTGAGATTATTCGACAAAACATCTTTAAACAAACGAAGCGGTAGCACAAATCACAGATGCCCAGCACAAGCCACAGGGATGTCCTGCACATCTTGCCATCGTTGCAAAAATGATGCAATGATTTGTGACACGTGCACAATGACATCATGATGTGCAGGACATCACTCACCTCTCTTGCAGACGTCTGCAAGCTTATTGCATAAACTGAGCCTATATCCCTAAGGGTAACTTAAATTGAAAGTGTTCTTTTAAAAGGGAGTACTGTAGATTGTTGATGATTAAAATTAACCAAGCACAACAATTAACTTAGATGTTTGATTAATCTTAAACCCCCGTAGGAATATTTTTGCTATCTTATGGCTTCCTAGAATCTTTAACTGATGAGATTAAAGTAATGATTATGACAGCTGCAACTCATCATAAATTTGAATAATGGAGCTTAAATAATAAGGAGCTCTCATTACGCTAAATATCATTAAACATGAGTTAGTCGATTATTTTCAATATATCTGAAATACACTGGCCCCTTATTTGAGATGTGGGGAGAAAGGGGTTTCCCCAAGAAGAAACAGAAACTATACCCACTCCCAATAACAGCAAGTACTATGTAGTTAAACTAGAATAGCTAACTTTAAAGGCATCTACACATTATTGATTTTTGTCAAAATATTAATATTTATTTTTATTACTATAAAAGAGAAAAAATGATAAAGTGGGGAAAAGTACAAAGAAATATATACACACACAAACAAAAATAAACAGGAAAGGATCTTGGTTTGTTTTTTTAATGAGGGATGCTTAATTTATGCCATCACCATATTTCAGGTGTACTTTCAGAACAAGAACATGCTTCGATGGTGTTCAGAAATGGTAGGAAGCTCTTCCGTGATTTCTTCAGTTGGGGCAAAGCATGTGATGCTAATCCAATTATTCTTGTACGTAGATCTTGCTGTATGCCTTAGGAAAGTGCCATCCAGATACACTGGCTTCAGTTCCCAGAATTCTCAGTAACAACTTCTTAGCTAAGAATTCTGGGAGATGTCCAGGTTGGAGAAGTCTGGCACACTGTGGTTTGAATCCAGACATTGTAGGTTGTTCAGTAAACCATTGTTAAAACAAGCTATGATTTAGTGCAGCCTGGAGCTAGTCTTTGCTTCTCTGAAATTTAAAAAAAAATTAAACTCAGGATCCAAGGAGGGCTTTTTCCCAATTTTTTGTTTTGTTTTGGAATCTTACCATCTCTCAAATATGGGGGGAAATGTTCATGCATTGAAGGATGCTTGCATCAGAGACATGGCTCAAATCCAAGGAAAATGAGGACAGGTTTATTACGTTTGCTTTATATGACTGAAATATGCTCTGTATTAAGGAAGGGGATCATGTAGCTCTCCAGGAATCAGTGAACTACAATTCCCAGAAGCCCCAACTAGCATGACTGAGAGAGATGGAAGCTGGGAGATGTGGTTCTGCTATATTTTGCCATCCAAACTTTGCTTTTCACTGTGGACCTTCATAGCTTTTCCAAACACAGGATTTTCCAGCTGTTCTTGGCCTACAATTCCTATCCTACTTAATCATCGGCCATATAAATTGGGGAAGATGAAAATTGCAATCCAGCATCCTGTCTTCCAGGGGGTCATTCTCTCTCCAGCCTGCTACAACCTCCCTGATTTCCCAACCTTCCATCAATCCCAAGAGAAGACATCAGGAGAAAACCTCCATGTGGATTAGTATGGGCAATCAGGAGGCCCGTATGGTGGCATTTATTCTGTGATGAGTTGACCACTCCATATCCTCTCTTTCCTTGTGTCATCCTTTTTTCCATCTTTCACTAAAGAGTGCCAGTATGGTGTAGAGGTGAAAACATTGATCTAGGAGTGGGGAGACCCAGGTTCTGGTCCACCCTCAGCCACAGAAGCTCCCTAGGGGATTTTTAGCTAGTTGCTTCTCTCACCCAAGTTACTTCATGGAGTTGCTATGAGGAAAAATAGGAGGGGGTACTATGTACGCTACTTCCAACTCTTGTATGAAACATGGGATGTAAAACCAAGCAATATATAAAATTGCAAGCAAAGACCTCCATCTGGTCCTCTGTAGCTATTTCTAGCCTCAGCTAGCCAGTGCAGTGACACAGTGCAGCCTGTCCTCATTACTGTGACGTCAACACAATGGTTGGATGATTCTAGAAGATGCAGTAAGTTGCTCATGAATGCCACCAGGAATAACTACAGCCCACAGGACTTCAGCCCTCAGGAACTGGCCTGCCAGTAAGAACAGTTGGAGAATTTCTCCTTCCCCTGGAGTAATTTGGATAAACAGTCCATCCAATTACTCTCCCCAGATTTGACACAACATGCTGTGTCCAGCCCTATTCTTCAATTCTCCCTTTCTGTTGTCCGTGCTTGAACACTCAGATCTCAACAAATCCCTGTGCACATGTAGCACAGAAGTTGTCCAATTCAGGCTTCCCCTTAACATGTAGGAAGTACTCTTTTCCAACACGCTACAATTCTTTGGGGGTGGGGGTAGCTAGTCAGCCCTCCCACCTTCAGCCTTGGAAAAGTACTAAGGATGATGAAAACTAGACCAAAGCATGAATTTTGGTTGGGAAACGTTCCCCCCTGCCCCACCTCTTGCGGCCTTTAAGCACTGCATTTTCTTGCCATTTCACTGAAGGAGGGGTACCTTTCAAAGACTGTGTTGCTATAAAAAATTCCCACCCACCATTTGCCAGTTCAGTGCAGACCTGATATCGTTGCAATATATCCTTCCATAGCCAGCAAGCAAAAAAGCCATGTATTAACTCAGTATGTCAACAAATGAAAGAGCAATACCAGAGATGGGGAACCAGTGGTCCTCTGGGTGCTTTTAAACTAGCTTTCAGAAGCCCCAGCCTTTACAGGTGATGGTGAGGGATACTAGGAACTTAGTTCAGCAATCCCTGGAAAAGCAGTTTGCCTCTTTGCTCTGGGCCAAATCATGCATCTTTGAGAATTTAATGCTGTCTCTTGGGTCTTTCCACAAACATGACAGGCTAGAAACAAAAATGCCACGCAAGAGAAAGTTCTAAAGAATTTGTCTAGCCTGGCTGTATTTTCAGGATTCACTAAAACACATGCACGCTCAGAAACTGTACCTGAAAAAGCCAGCTAGCCTCAGGAATTGCAAAACAGGTTAAAAACATTCCTTGCCACTTTTGAGTTTCCTTCTCCAACTCAGGGGTCTCTTCAATGTGTCCCTTCCCATGTCCAGTAACTCCTAGGGAGCAGGGCCATCTGCTAAAAGGGTATCTGCCTGAGGAAGACTGCCTTGATGAACATTGCAGCTAATTCCGTTACTGAAATTTAGAAACATTTTATGGATGGGTGTGAAATCCAGCCATTTGGGCAATACAGATCAGCCCGCAAAGGATGAAGCAGATGGGGAAATGGATGCAAGCAACCAAATTGGGTAGTAAAGAGCTAACCTTGAAGCTTCACCTTTTTTCCACAGGAAGAAAAGACACTGGAGGAAAGAAACAGACCGAAGTGGGGTGAACCAGAATGGACCGCATTCTCAATTACATAGAGATTTTTGCAATAGTGCTGGGGGATTTCATGCAACTGCTTTTTAAGGAAATAAGCCTGCAAAACCACAGGATGTTCAAAAGCGAATCCGCAGGAGCTACTGGAACCAATAAAAAGCAAGCATCAGAGAGGAAGGATTTCAGAAACTTCATGGATGATGCAAGATACACTGTACGCTTGCCTTGGCATCACCTCTACTAAACTTCTGCAATTGCCACTTTGCCTGAATGTACTTCCCTCCACCAAGTTCAACACAAAAGGAAAGCCTCAGACAATCCCAAGAGAAAAGGAGGGCCTGGGAAAACCAAAAGGTTTTGCTCCATATCTGTGTCACAGCAAAGAAAGGAAGCAAGAGTCAAATCTCTTGTGGCTGCCAGCTCAGAATATTTCCAAATTGGCATGACAAGAACACATCGATCTTAACTAAGCAATCTAGAGAGATTAAACTAATCCCTTTTTCTGAGAACACCAGCTCCAGTCTGGATTCCTGAAACAAGAGAATAAACATCTTTTTGTGTCCCAAAGTTACCACTGCAGGGATTCTCTGTAAATGTGGCTTTCAGACATGGCATGGGAGAAGGGAGCTGGGATGCAGAGTTGGTGCAATCCAAGCCCTAATTTGCACAGGAACAGCAACACAATGCAACACAATGCAACACAATGCAACTCAACACAACTCAACCCTTTATTATGGCCTTTAGGACTGTGGCCTGTAGGAGCAGTGACCAACGGGCCATTTTTTCAGCGGTACTAAAGAAGCATTTGACTCTCCTGGAGAAAGAAGGAAACAAACACCATCCATTTTGCCTTATATTCATTTGTTAGGTATAATTAAAAGGAAAAAGAAACAGTCCACAGCTAAGAAAAATTTAAGCCAAGATGAAACGAGTGAAGCTGCTATCTAGACACTTGATGTGTTGAGTTTCAGCTGTCCTAATTGCCAGTCAGTAAAAATTCAATATTTCTCGAGAGAAACCAAGTTGGGGAAGTTGTGGAGAACAGATGGGACCATTCTGGCATGAAGGCAAAACCTCTTCTTCCAATTCAGTAATCTGACTGCTAATTGTCTTGAAATGAAAAGACTATGAGAAACTATAGAAAGCAAAAGAGTGCATATGTAAAAAAGCAGTTCTCCCTATAAGGATGTAAGATGCAGGGAATTTAGAAAAAAAAAATCCTCCCCCCTGAAATAGTCTACTGCATTTTGTTTTCCCCTGCTGCCCAGAATTCACCTTCTGGGGGGAAAAAAAGGTTGGGGAAAACTCTCTGTAAAAACAGGGAGCCTTAGTGTAAATTAATACAGCACGGCACTTGTCCTCATTAATAGCAAGGAATCAATTATCTACTGAATGTGTTACCCACCAAAATCCTCCCCCCCAGAACACAAATATACATATAACCCTTGCAAAACAATTGCAGCATAGTTGATACAAGTTCCAAGTTGTATACAAGATTTTAGCCAACTTAGAACCAATCCCAGAATGCAATCAAAATCCATCTGTCTACTTTAATATTTTGAGCAAAGAACATCTTGGCTGCCTTTGAATCGTCAAACCAACATTACCGCTTGTGGCTGACCTCAGTTCTCTAATTCGTTAGAGGCATCTGAAGCTACAGTAAAACAGAAGGATTGTCTTTAGCATTAAGAAGTTCAGAAAGAAGATGTCCTTCAGTTCCTCACATCATTCCTCCAGGAGCATAACAGCCATGTTTATTAGGAACGTGTCAACTGCAAATCCAGCATCGCTCTTTTCTGTTGAGAAGAGTGGAAAATCCAAATGTTGTGGATGCAAAAAAATTATTCTCCATCTCTCCTTTGCGTCCAAGGTCCTTGCATCATTTTCTACAGGGGACAACGTTCCTGAGAAGACTGGTCCAACAGCCTCACCTGAGAAAACACAGGGAAAGATATATGGCCAAATTAGCATCATCAGAGGATGCACAGCACCACAATTAGAAAGATTTGCAAGCTAGCAAGTCACCCATCATTTAAGAATTAGAACTGAGCTACAGAGCTCATTTTGGGATCAGCTGTTCTTCTGTGCAAATCTCTTCCTGGGCTAATCAAAACTGCTTTTGTGTCCACTGCATAGAGAGAAAGTCTATTTGCAACACAGCTAAATCCTTCACACCCAAGTAGAAATACCACCAGACTTGGTATTACTTGCCTGGCTCCAAGCAAATATTTTCCCTGTTCAGGGAGGGTAGTTTGTCCCAGACAGTCTCTGTAACTGACTAAACCATGGCTTCTGAAGTCAGGAACAAGCGTTGGAGCCATAAGTACGCCTTCCCCTGGTGCTTCAAATCCAGGCTTGTTTTTAACCACAGCTCTCCAGGATGCCAGAAATGGTGTTGATCGGATTTAAAACCAAATCAGGGCCAAAGTCCTAAAGCTCATAGGTGAGCCAAGATGAGCAGGCATCCAAACCAGGAGCAAAAGAAGTCCCTGTTTTGGAACATCCAACTTGGCTGTGGGAAAGTTAGATCCAAGTCCTCCAACAGCCAGCAGAGAACCTGAAGATCCCCACCACCACCACCAAGGCTGGGACAGCACCTTGGTCACGTGATCCATCTCCCAACTCACTCAATGCCCCTGCAGTTTTTATGCCAACAGTATGAAAGGGGTTTGCCACTGCCTTCTTCTGGAATGATTGCTTGGGCATACCAGCTGAAGGCTTTCCTAGTAGTCCCCCATTCAAGGACTAACCAGGCTCAACTTTGCTTACCTTCCTGGGCCAGACAGGGGCAACCAGATCCCAACTCTTCCTGAAACTCCCCAACTCCTTATATGGGGGCTACGTTCCTTCAATATACCCTTCATATCTCTGTCTGCTTTCATGGGGATGCCCATCCAGTGGGTGGACTGCCAAGTAATGCATGCTTCAAATGTTCAGGATGGTCACCCACTGGCAGAAGTTGTGACCAAGGGTGCATCTCAAAGAATGAACGGCAAGAGGCAGATGCGTAACTGTTTTGCTTTCATGCGTAGAAGTTGTTTTGTTCAGTGACTTGATTCCCTGTCTTTCTGCTCTGGCAAGTTGTCACAGGTTCGTTTAATATTCAAGGGTGGGTTACCCAGACTCGCCAAGATATTCCCAATGGGACACTGCACACACACAGACTTTTCTCTTCCCTTTTATACTGGGGTTCCTTTACTTATAAAACCAACATTCACAGTAGAAAAGGGTTCTTTTTTCTACCCAGGTGTCCCACTAACAGAGTTTTCACCTAACCTATATTTCTATCGCTCAACTTACTATTATACTACTATAACTATTAAACACTACTGCTGTCCCTAGAATATCTATTACTATTCCCAGGTACCAGTGCTCCTTTAAAAGGACAATGCTCCTGGCCTTTCCACAAACCTTGACTGCTGCTCTCTCCCTTGCTTCCTTCTGCCTCTCCTCTACACACCCAGCTATTCCAAACACAGGGCTTTTTAAACAGTCTCTCCCCCATCTGGATGCTGAGCTGCTTTAGAAATAAAATGCAATTCCAGTTGCCTCCACTCTTTTTACAACTCATCCCTCTACACAAGTCCTCAAGGGAGAGAATGGAAAAACTTGAACGTACGCCTTAAAATATTTTAAAAAACTAAAATTCACAAAGAATCTGCAGTTAAAGGCTTGCAAGAGAGGTAGATTTTTCTCCCGCTGAAAGGGCATCGGGGGCAAGATTCAGTATTTTATTTATTTATTTTTGGTTTGCATAACTGTTTGTGAAACGTTTTTCAGAGAGAATAAAACCTAATGCAAACTAATACAGAACAGAGAGAGAAAAGGAAAAAGACATAAATGCAGAAAGAAAAGAAAAAAAAAGAAAAGAAATAGAAGCTTCCAATCTCCTTTGTAGCAAATGTGAGTTATCTCTTACTCTATGATTACCAAAAAAAAGCTCAGTTTTTTCTATTATCAATTTTTTTTCTAATCATCAAAACCACAAGTCATAAGGGGATTTTTTTTCTTTTTCACGCAAAAAGTCTATAAGGGGTTTCCAATCAGAGATAAATGTAGACATTGTCTTTTAAATGTAGATATTGTCTTTGGGGGCAAGGTTCAAAACATTCAACAGTTCTGCTTCTCTTGGGCCTATAAACAGAGCTGATCCTACACTATTGTCAGTCCTGGGGCCATGGAGTGAGCTAGATTCAAGGGATCACTGGGGGAATCTCTGTGCTTCTCCTTGGGATCCTACAACAGCCCAAATGGAGCATCCCATTAATCTACAGCAGTGTTGTCCAAACTTGGCCACTTTAAGATGAGTGGACTTCAACTCCCAGAATTCCCCAGCCAGCATGGCTG